AGAGTATATTAATTGTAGTATTTCCTCAGAGATGTGAAAAATATTAAGCAGCAACACCATCACAACTGTTTAAAATACTCTGGACCATTAGCTAAAAACATTTACAATAATGTCACACTGTCCAGTGACTTACATTTCCTGTATTACTCCCATAACTGAAGAAAGACTAAATAAGGTACAAATAGGAAAAAAAGACAGATTATCTATCCAAAATGTAAATATCCAGTGCCCACCCCTTGGTCATTACCAGTATGGTGTCAATACAGACTCTGCAGCTTTAAAACAAAAACCAATACTTATTTACAACTGATACCTGTGCTCCATAAACAAGCATGCTGAATTCTTTGTAGATTCTCAGTTTCTTTCTAAATGAAGGACCCTTGTGTGCTTTTGAACAGGTTTGCTGTGCTTTAAGATCATGCTAGATTGGATATTAGACACAGATCTCTGTTCCCTGTGGTTGTTCCTCATCTTTGGCAGGACCCCAAAGTGGGCCTGGAGAGCTTCCCTGCTCCTTGACTTTGGTCTGAGCCGTGTGAGTTGCTTTATACAGTAATGTACAATACATTACTGTATAAAGCCATTACAAGTGATGGCTTACTTAGTTCCAAACCCAAGCTTTAGAGAACTCCATACACTTCTGTCCCTTCTCCTCTGCTCCTGTCACTGCCAAGTCCCCTAGGTCAGTATGGGAAAGAACCATAAAGAGTAGGCCAGATCCAAGCTCGGGAGAAACCAGTGCTTAAAGCAGAGCCACTCACCAAACTCAGCCCAACTCAGGCATCTCAGAGAGCATAGTCAAGGACAAAGGATTTTTTTAAACCACTCACTGTTAGGGCAGTTTTTAATGCAGCAATAGGAAATAGCTACAAAATATAAAGCTATAAACCACCAGCAGCAACAGCCCTGAGAAGTTACTTACTCATAAGAAGGTCAATAGTATAAGCTTCAATACCCACCACAGAAAAGCTCATCACTTTCATCAAAACAATCATTCACTCCATCACAGCGCTGAGTCTGAGGGATACACAAACCAGAGGAGCACCGAAAAGACCCGAGAGGACAAGCTACAGGTGATAAAACATAGAAAGTCTTGGGTCAGTCCCTGAAAATCACCAGTTCATATTAGCAACAAAATATAAAGTGTTCAGTGGTTAGGGATTTGGCAAAACAGCAGGAGTAATTAATTATACAATTTCTCCTTCCCATCAAGGCTGTGGGTAATTAAAAGAAAAGCCACCTTGAGTAAGCAAAGAAAAAACTGATTTTAACCCACAGAAGCTTTTTGTAAACACCAAATCTGGGTAACAGGCACAATCCCATTTCTACTGCCTCTATAACTCTGATTCAGGCCTATATCATTACTAGGACTTGAAAATATGAAAGCTGGAAGACAGCTCAAAGAGACCAGCATTCTTAATGTGCAGCTTCAGCCTTCGGGCCAATTGCAAATGGACATCTGATGCCTCTGGATTCTCTGTGCTCAGACACATTATTCCACAGCCCTTTAGTTACATTTTCAAGTAAACTGTGCTCCAAAAATATATTAGTAGCCATTAATCTTATAGAAAGCCCAGGACTCATGTTTCCTACCTCTCTGTCCCTCAACTTGTCTACTAGAATTGGGCTCCTCATCAAAAATCCATTTCCTGCCAGGATCTAAATCATTAACCCCAGACTTGCAGATGCATATTATAGAGATGCTGTCTCCCTCTGTACAAAATAATGGGAGTGGTCGGCTACTGCCTTAGTGACACACAATGGAGTTAATAAGTGATTTGCTGGAAAACAGCCACCGTTATGATTAGAAGTCTGGTAGCGCACTTCCCCTTGTCCTTGCTGGGAATTACCGGATTCTGGCACTCAGAATATAATGCTCTATATTATATTTTGGGGGCTGGCAGAGAAGGACATGCACAGCCCAACAGAGCTCTCACTCAAGTCATGTTCTCAAAGATTTCTCAGTGAGTAACCTTCACTTTTCCTCTTTGCAAACATGTCTAGAATTTCTTAAACCAGTCATTATCCACGCTCTTCCACTCTACTGGCTCCAGTGGAATATTCCTGCTCTGCTAACCACTTCCTGACCACTGTTCTGCAGTTTCAAAGTCAATTTCAAGCCCAACATTCTCAAGGCTGATCCTTGAGCTCAACCAACCAGCTCTCCCAGGTATCATAAGCCAAAGAGAAACAAAACTATTTGCCTCAGATTCACCAAATATTTGTGTAAAATCATATTTCCAAAGAATTATGGCTAGCAAGAAATACATTGAACCAAGAAATGGTCTAATTCTGTATTTTTGAAATGATATGAGAAATCACATTTCAACTAGAAATCAATATTATCCAAAAATCAAATTATTTTCTATTAATTTGTAATATAACAGCAACATATAATATATACCTATAATTATCTTTGTATTACATTTGTTAAAATTATATATAGATCTTGTTCTAAAAAATACTGAAAAAATTATATAACAAGAAGTAACAAAAATGAAGTTGTGCTCATTCCTTATATTTTTAAGATTGAGCACTACAATGTTGGCTTACATTTTACTACATATTAGGGACTTTTTAAGGCACATATCACAGGCTTACGTTGGCTGATGTTGTAGCTGCCATATTCCACCAGAAGTGGCTTGTCTGAAAGCTTTGAACTGCACTGGAGCTGAATGTGAGCCAGCGAGCTGGGCACACGGAAAATCGTCTGGTGATCCATGTAAGAGCCACAGTACCTGAGAACACAATCAAGACGACATGCAACTTGAGGGTGTCAGCTGCATTCCTATAACAATGAACTCACCAAAACTTTGGTTAGTCAGATTTCACAGGCAGGGATGCTTACGATAGAGCTAATGGTCGCTGACCATCCTATGCTAGGAAACTATGAACCAATAACTTCTGCCCCCCCAACTTTCTTCTCTGCTGACAGAGCAGTCATAGTACCATGGGTTTCCTCACCAACAACTGTAAGTAGAACAACTAATTGTATTCTTCCAGCCCTGTCTCTTCTTTCAATATAGAAGTTCCAATAATAAGAATTGCCCCATTTTGCCCACAAATCTCTTTGCACAGCAGAATGAAATTCTTGAGCTGAGGTTGAAGATATGCTAAGAATTTCATCAACACTTGAAGTGAAAGACAGCGATATTATTTTAATCTAAATTGAAATTTAATGTGCATTTCAGGGCTTGTCCTTGGCAAAGTTTTAAAGAAGTATTGACTTCCTGTAATATTTTCCTACCTTGATTTTTTCCCCCTTACATTGCATCATCTGATGCCACCAGGGTTTCCATTTATCCTTTTTAGAAAATGTCCCTCTGGTGAATAATTCTTACTATATGATCCCTGTGGTTAAATGGAGTACCAATTATATTATGTCACAGGCTTGTAAAATAGTATATCCACCACCCCAAGGAGGCAGGCTTTTCCAGGGTGAAACATGCAATGTCTGCATGGGAACAGAGAACAAACTCCAGGCTTGGGGGTGACATCCTACTTAGAACTTATAAATACCAATCACTCAAGATTCCCAGGGTACATGCAGACCATATGTGCCCCATAGATCAAATACTGGCATTTAAGAATGCAGATAATCTATGATTGCAAGTCTAGAGAGAGGGAAGTGTTCACACAAAATTTAGGAAGCATTGCAATTGGCTGAAATTCAGAGTGATGGGCTGGTAGGACAGATCCTGGGGTAAGAGAATACAACAGCTGCAGATGGCCTCTTGGTCAAGTGGGAAGCCAAGGCTAAGAGGCAAAGCAAGCTTTTGAGGCCAGTCTACTCTAGCAGTCATCTGACTACATCTAGCCAGTGTCAGAATCCTATGCTCTGAAGCCGTGATGATCATGCCATCTGTATCTCACACTGATTTCTCTCCTCTCCATTAGCATTTTGTATTTTCTTGCAAAGATGAGCCCCATTGGGATGTGTTAAGGAGGAATCGAGAAAGCAATCTTTTCATCCATGCTTGGGTTAGATCATAAAGGGGACATTACACAACAGAGTGTAATGATGGCCTATAGAAAGAATGTGTAAAAAAATGAGAGATAGCAAAACCCAGTCAGCGGCAGCTTACGTACATAGATGCATAGCAAGTAAGGACAGTGAGATGTAAAGAAGGGAAGCAACTTTTTTAAAGTTCAAATGTAAGCAGGAGCCAGGATTTGGACACAGGTTGGCCTGATTCTGTACTCTGCCATTTTAGGGGAAGCATACCAAGAGATAGAGGGAGGGGGGAAGTGGGAGAGAGGAAGGGAGTGTAAAAGAATTAAAATGTGCCATGCACACATCTCACCTCCCCAGGATGAATGTAATCATCAGGTACTGCAAACACATGCTAATAATAATTAAAATTAAAAACAAAACTCTGGCACTTTCTAATATGCCAAAAGGCCTTCTTTTCAGGTTTTGCTCTACTGAAGTCATAAAAAGGCTGTTATTTCTTTAGGATCCAAATACTGTCAGCCAGCTGGCCTGAGCACCCACACCTTGCTCCTCTGTTCTGCCACAGTGCTCTAGGCTTACTCCCACCTGAAAGCATTATGTTTTTCCTCCTTCCCTATTAGGGCCCCAGTTCCCTCAGGCCAACTTCTTAACAAGGTGATCAGTTGCGTCTCAGCTTTTCCTTTCCAGACAGAAAGAAGTGATAAGGGAAGGACTAGGCATTTTAAATCCTGAGGGAACAATCAGCAGGAAATGAACCTAATGAGACTTCACACACCCTAAAAAATTGGCCCTTCAGGGAAAGTGTGGGGCAGAGAAAGCTTTCTTTCCTGGAATTTCTCGGGAGGAAACCCTGTTTCTACTTGTGGCAACAGAATCCTGGTGGTGGTGGCTGTTATGCAGGGAAAAAAAAAAAAAAAAAAAAAAATCTCTTCTTGTCAAAGCAAAGTTTTGTCATTGGCTTGCCCCCTCACAGAAGACTTGTGTCCTGTGGATTTCCAATACAATAGCCACTAATGTGACAAGACTGCTTTGTAAATGGCATTGGTAGATAGATGTACCAATTTTGCTCCCCCCAAAGAGTACAGACTACATTTTAATAATGGATCCAAGAATGCTTTAAAATATGACATGACCTATTCCATGAATACGAGCCCAGTGACTTTTGTGCAGATTGTCTAAAGGAAATAAAGGGGCCTGTTCAGGAAAAGCATTTCTAAAGGGAAGATTTTGTTCACGTGCAATAACACTGAGCAACAATGTAGCAGGCAAATCCTTTAATATCACAGGATTCTTTGCAGAAAAGGAACTGAGAAACTACTTTGCTATTAAGACAAGGCATCTAACTGAATGCCTACTGAATATATATTAAAGTTTTAGAAACAAACAAAAGTTAAGAGATATAATGTGTCACTTAAATTTTAAGAGTTGAAGAACAAAGACTTATTAGATTGATTCATGAAGCCCAAAAACACATATCTTCCATCTTTCTGAGCAGCTGCAACTCATTTCCCAACATCAGAATCCAGCCAGGCCACTCAGGCCTCTTCAGCCCCACAGGGTTGTCTAATGACCTCGAACCCTTTTACCATACTTCCTGTGCTTTATTTTCCCTGTGGCTCCAGGACATTACAGTTTTTATCTACCAAATGCTTTTGTGAAGGGTAGAAAATACACATTGATTATCTCTGCTTCATCAAGCAGAGTGAGGCAGAAACCTAAAGACTTGGATTGGAATCCTGCCTTAGTCACGTGCCAGGGGACACGTGGCTTTCTGTAGGTTCTCTATTCTACCCCTCAGTTTCCCTCTGGATAAATAGCAACATGCAAATTGGGCCAGAAGCTCCAGGGAGTCCTCACAGAAGGAAAACCAGTTACATGTGCTCGTTGATTTCCCACCATCCATGCTCGCAGCCTTTCGCATTCTTCTTGGTTATTGAATAGTTATGGAATTTCAGTGCTACTCCAAGGCTTGACAGGGGAGTCTGTGAAAAACAAACATCAAGTCAAAACAGTGCTTTATTGAAGCCTGTTTCAGCCTAGGATCTTCTTGCTCACCCAATACTCCTCCTTCAATTTGCTGTTCTAAAGGTATTTTACTCTTTGTAACCTGAGCAGTGGTGTACACCAGCTCTCCCCAAACAAACCAGGGTGACGAGATTAGGAAGGAGAACACAGTGGACAGGCAGGTATTCAGGGAGGGGCTACTGGGCCAAGTTATAGCTGCGGGGCTGGGGGTGGCGACCACATTAACATCCCTGGGTGTTATTTCCTTCTGTTAGATGAGCTTGACTTGAAAACACTCATTAATAAGTATAAGAAATTCCCTGTTAATAGAAATAATGACTTGACTTGATTAAAACATTATTTAGCTTCTTAAGATAAAGGAGACATGAATTATCCTTCTCTTCATGCTAAACCTAGATGTTCCTGTAAGCTATTACTGAATCACCACTGGTTTTCTCAGAAGAGATCACAGGCACCATTGCTGCCTAAGTGTATAGCTAACACACACATACTGTGCCACTGATCTTTTTATTGAACTATGGGATATACACACACATTATAGCTGATAACACAAACGCTTCAGTTTTTATTTTTACTTTCACCCAAGAGAGATTTTACATTTCCAAAGAGTTGAATTTGGGCAAATAGATTTTCAAGTTTTCTAGTTTCATATTAACTATATAAAAGATTATGGTTTATATTGCTTTTGGTTGTTAAATTCATTAATGATTTTTTTTTTTTTTTGTATTTTTAGGGAAGGATCTACAGGGTGCTCAGGGTCTCACTACTAGATTGGACTCACAGTGATCCACCTGTTTACAGCCTCCCAAGAGTTGGGATTACAGGTGCATGCCACCATGCCCAATCTCAATCACCATCTCAGCGAGCCCCTGGGGCAGGGCCAGCAAGACAGCCCAGGGGATCAAACACCTGCTTGCAGGTGCTTTAATCCGTTGAGCTATTTGGTCAGCCCTATTTATTTATTTTCTTAGAAACTCATTAATGAATTAAATAAATACAGGATAATTATAGTACTATTTTTTTCTTGGTTTATTGAAAAGTATGTGCCATTGAAAAGTTTGGTCAACTTTTCATATCTATATATTGTACTCTGTGTAACAACTTTGAAGATAACAATACATGATGTATTAACTACTGCTACTATCTTATTAGGTTTTGGAATTTCTTTTCTTCACAATAAAATAAAGTAATACAAATAAAAATATTTTACAGTTTTTTGGGGGGTTTTTTGTTTGTTTGCTTTTTCTTTTTGAGACAAGGTGTTGCTATGCAATTCAGGCTGATCTTGAATTCACTTTGTAGCCCAGGCTGGTCTCAAAACTCACAGCAATCCTCCTGCCTCAGCCTCCGGAATGCTGGGATTCCAAGCATGCCCCACCATGCCCAGCTTCATTTTGAAACAGGGTCTTGTTATGTAGCACATGCTGTCTCTGCACTCACTGTGTAGTCCAGACTAACCTCAAGCTCACAGTGCTCCCCCCGCCTCAGCCTCCTGAATGCTGAGATTACAGGAATGTTGTGATCAAGTTTATGAATGTTTCAAGGTCACATGAACACAGGTGTATCCTCTGCTTCTATTAAAGTCATCAGCACAGTCAGTGTCCTCCTCAGACTCATTTCCTGTCCCTCACTACCTCTAGCATGAACCAAGTAAAGTCAAGAGAAGGGAATTAAAATCTATTTAGCCACTACTCACTTCCCTTTGTACATCTTACAGTTTTTGCTTCATAAGTATGAATGCCCTGCCCCTTGCTGCATAGAGAGTTGTCACAATTAGATCAAGTAGTCCACCCTTTCCAGCATCACAGGTCACTGTCTTCTGATACTCTCAAGTCAGGAATGTTGCTTTCCTGGCGTGTGTGTTGCCTGGCACTAAGGCCATGTCCATTGCTTTTATTTCATTCACGCTTGCCTGGAAGATCACGCCTATCCTTGTTGTTCAGCTTCACTGAGTCACTTTTTTAGTTTATCTTGTCTTTTGAAAATAATCTAAAGTTAAGTTTTAGTCAGTGCTCTGTAATTCGATCCTACTGTCATTTAACTTAGAAAAATTTTACCCCTTGGCTTTTATCACGCTGACAAACGTTTGAGTTATGGAACCATTTTATGTGTTATGCTTTCCTGTGGTGTGTGTGTGTACACTTAAAAATAGATACCCACCAAATATGTTGCATTTCTCATTTAAACATCACGACAAACCTGTTAGACCAGTAGCCTGAATCTCATTTTATAAAGGAAATGCCATAACTAGTCGAAATGAACAACTTTCTCGAGGTTCAGAACTACAGATTAGAAACGCAGACCAGCCCTGTCTTTCTCTGCAGGCCACTTTCCTCTCAGTCATCAGGCTGCTTGAAAACAGATGTGCAACACTCCCGTGAAGGGGACCGGTAAGATCTTGTATTGAGAAAGCCCAGAGCTCATGAGAACACATATCAATCTCTTTCAAGGCTTGTCAGAGGGACTTTCCTTCACATAAAAAGGTACAAACTGAGAGTCAGAACCTTAAGTAACAATGTACACTCTGTAGCCTGAAGATGGGTGCACTACGTCTGTACTGCCAGCACTCCAGAGGCCGAGCCAGGAGGATCAGGAGTTCCAGGCCAGCTTGGACTATATAGTAAAAACTTGTCTCAAGAAGCCCAAAACTTTTAGTGTCAAAGCATCTTTCACTGAAATTCTCTATAAAGAAGCTTGCTTCGGTGTTCATGCTAGGTCCCATTGTTCCAAAATAAAATGGACTTTTATGCATGACCATTTCTCCATCCTGAATTTGTGTACAGCGAGAAGAAATACCACTCATCACAGAGCTGCACACATTTCTACATGTGCACAGATTCTCTGAAAGGCACTATAAACACAAGCCTGCTTGACAGGTGGAATGAAAGGCTACAGCTCCACAGGGCATTACAAGCTGTTTTGACAAATGAACAAAAACAAGTATGCTATTTCCTCATATGTCCTGCATCCTTGGTTTCTGCTCTCCACCTTCTGCCTCTGCGTTGGTAACTTTAAACAAGCAAAGAAAGGAATTCTAACCCAGACCTGTGCAATTTAATAATTTCTCTAGTCAGTGAAGGCAACATTTGATTCTTCAGGTACCCCTAACTTGCCAGTTATGGGGTATCCCAACCCCAAAGCCCTCCTCAGATGAGCGCCAAAGTTTCCGTGGCACAGATGCCTGCATATTTCCTTTACAGAAGCAGAGAAGGGGCTCCCTCCTGTGTGCCCCCACTGCTTCCCTAAGCGATAGGAGGAAGCGACAGGGCCCCAGCTTATGTCAGGCAGAGCTAAAGTGAACGGTTGAGGACTACGATATCCGTGACAAAGTGAATCAATGCACTGCTCTATCTGTTCTTCCAGGATTCTGTGACAAAATGTACTGGAAAACAAAGGCAGCAAGGGAAAGGGTGGTGAGTGTTCAGCTAAGTGATTGTTAGGAAGATGAACATCTTCAGAAACCCAGAAAAAGGGTGGAGGCCGAATTTATTCATGAAGCCGTGTGATGTTATTTACCTCACCGCCAGATGAGGCGGGCACGCCTTGCTCTCTGTGAAGCGGTGTCCTAGCCATTTCCAGCCCTTGACCCCTGGCAACCCAGGAAGTGACTTGATATTCATGCTTACTCTCTGGCTAAAAATCCCAGCTATGCGGTCTGGGATTTAAATTTTAGGTAAGTGGGTTATCATGGATTCAATATCTCTTTTACATAAAAGAATTTCAGATGTTTGAAAGAGCTTTTGCGAATGGCACCTCTCTTGTTCTGGCTATTGTACGAACCCATGGAGACAAGCCTGCTACCTGGAGATATTGAAGAGACAGAGATTTTATTGTGTGAAATAGGATGGCCAAAGGAAGCATCGTTGACAAGAGAACCTTACAGAGATACCTTTTCCAACTGTTCATTTCATCTCTTCATTCTTCAAATCTGCCCCTACCCTCAGACTCACTGATCATCAGAAACCTTAACACCTTGAAAGTCTTGCAGTGAAAAAGGTCCCAACATCTTAATCTTCTAAGTATTTTGGAGACATTTGTGAGAACAAGTAAAATTAAGTGTCATCAGGATAGCAGCACCAGGTGTAGATTTGGGGAAAGCAATGAAATTACTACTTAAATGGCTTGGCTGCACCCAAATAATCCTATGTGTGTTAGGCACTTCCTGCCTGAGAATCCTTCCCCTACCTGTTCCCTTTGCTGCACCATTGTTAGCCTACAGATTGTTATGGTTTGTGTCCAGTTGTCCCCCAAAGCCTCATGCAGTCATAGGGTGGGGACTTCTAGAGTTTGTGATTAATTCCTGATCCACTGGGATTATGGGTGTGAGTGCTGCTGGGATTATGGGTATGAGTGCTACACCCAGCCTGGGGCAGGTAGCCTGAATGCAACGTAAGGGAGACAGACTTGCTCTCTGTCACCATTGCTGCTGTTACTCCTCCCTTTCGCTCTTGCTGCTTTGCTGCTTTCCACTGCAATGAACTGCGGCCCTCTGCCCTGTACCAGTCTGCCTTGGAGCCAGCTAAGTATGGACTGAAACCTCCAGCAACTGTGAGCTAAATAAACCTTTCTTTCCCTTATTTTGAGTGTCGGGTATTTGTCCCAGTAATGAGAGAAGAGCAACTGAGACAAAAGTCTACAAATCTAGTTCCTTCATCTTTCTCAGGTATCTCTGTAAGGTTCTCTTGTCAATGAGGCTTTCTTTGGCCACCCTACTTTAGTTAATAAAGCCCTAACTTGTTCCTTTCCAACTTTCTACTGAAGCTATAAAGCCCTCTTTCCTCTTTTTTTTTTTTCCACAGTACTATGTCACCATATCACGTACTACACAAAATCGTCATGACTCTGTGAAAAGAACTAGTTTCAGGACCCCACAAATATCCAAATCTGTGGGTGCTCAGTTCACTTGTTTAAAATGTAGCATTTGCAACATACATAGTATTTGTATATACACATCATCACACAGACTTTTAAATCATCTCTACATTACTTAATATTTAATGCCATGGAAATGCTGCAGCAACAGCAATACATGTCATAATCACATATGACCAGAAAGCGCAGGTATGTGGGCTCACTGGATATGCATGTTATTTGTTTGTGACCTGTCTCCTTCTACTGGAAGGTAAGCTCCGTGAGAGATTTTTGCTTGCATGTCTAATTTCATAGATCCTCTGAGTCCAGAGTAGTGTCTGAGAATCTAGCCCAACTAGTTCATTCAAAACCACATTGGTGGCCCAAATCACATAATTTGCCCTTACATCTAACTGCTGTGCATACAGTATATGTACAAAATAGTGATTTTTGCACATATACTGAAGGAACAAAGGTGATATAGTTGAATAAAGCAAACGGTTTAGCCTAAGATTGAACAAGTCATGTCCTATCTAACACCACAGTGGTATGTGTTTTTTATAAAGTTATACTTTTTTTGTTTATGAAAAATATATATTGCATAATCCAATTTATTATTTTCATTATTTCTATGATAAAATAATTAACTTTTGATAAATGAACTCTATCATAATAAATATTTGCTTCTACAGTAACACCTTTGCATTTTTATAAAATAAAAATATACAAAATAAGTGAGAGAAATAGGCCCACTGCTAAGAACAGTTAATTTGTTGTAGAAGTTTGAAATTACATGAAAATTTCACTTCTTTGTTAATATATCTTTTTTTTTTTTTTTTTTTTTTTTTTTTTTTTTTTTTTTTGATGGAACTGGGGATCAAACTCAGGTCCTTGCGCTTGCCAGGGAAGCGCTTATTCCACTGAGCCATCTCCCCGGCCCCTGTTAATATATCTTATAAGGTTCAAACTTTATAAAATTAAGTAATGTTATTGTAGTAACTTACAAAATAAGGGTAATGAAAATTAATAACAAAATTGTGCCAAGTCTAGGATAATATTTTCCCAACGTTCTGATAAAACTCGGCTACCTGAAATTTCCAGGTACACTTGCATTTTGGAGGATAGTAGCTTGGGTAATACGGACTTGAGATTTTCCCCTCAAAGCCAGGAATTTCTCTGACCAACACTGTGCTTTCACATTCTGAAAAAGATATCAAGTAAGACACAAGAACTTGCAATTACAGAATTATACAGAAACCCATGCCATCCATTTCTGTAATCACAAATGCAGTCTTCCTTGGTGGACAGGCTAGTATATTTTTGAACTTTTGTTTCTTAAAGAAACAGCACTGTACGGATGCATACTTGCCCTCAAATTCCATGCTTGGTTTTAAATCCTGTATTTGGCTACAGGTCTGTAGGATGCTATGGATCTCATTTAAAACATTGTTCTGGACTCAGCGGCACCAGCACAGCTAAGCCACTTCTTCTCCAAAGACACTGGACATTCAGCTTCTCCAAAGAGACGTCCTCCGCCAAGCTCTCGCCCTGTGACAATTTCAACTCTTTCCTTCATTCCTTCAACCTGAGAGCGTTTTATATCTCTTAAATTATTTCAGTTCTCTTTTGTTTTGAGTTATCTTTATGCCAATTTGCCAGGACTTTACTACATTCACTGTGTTCTTTCTCTTTTGATTGGGTTCAGATTCAGTCAGAATAATGACTAATACAACTAATTTCACAACACAGCAAAGATAAGCCTAAAGCATCATAACTAGTATTTCCAAAGGTTAGTTCTTTTTTTTTTTTTTTGAATTGGAGAAGACTTACTTTGTTCTGGAATGACTTCAAAATAAGCCCGGATTCCTGACAGCCTCCGTATGTAAGGAGACTTAAGTGCCACTAACATGAGATTATTTGTAGAAACAAAGGACATTAGTGTTCTTGTGGGTTCACAAAGTCTGAAATCAGATAACAAAGCAAAGTACATGAATAGCAAGCTATTTGAGGAATTAATTCTGCACATTTCCAGAGCCATCTACCCAATTCTCATGAATCAGCCTATGCAGCCAGGTCTTTACCTGTTACTGGCCACAGGGTACCACAAATGAAATGGAGCTAAGAAAGGTACTGAAATGTTTGCCCCCAAATCTTGGATTCCTAGGACCTCCTTGAGTACAAATAAAGTAAAAAGGCAGGATGTGTGCTAGCTAAGGTCATAGGTACTGCCGCAAGAACACTGGACTCGGAAATCAGCTCCCCCAGTGAACAGATGGCAGGCAATCAAGCAACTGCATAAATGGGAGAGCTAGTTTCTAGTCATGAAATAGCAGTAATAATAGTAGGCTTCACACAGGATGGTGGTAAGGATTAAATGAAATAATGCTTAAGAATATCTGAAAGGATGGAAAGAAACTAGCAGTCATAGAGGAATGAGAGTCAATTTAAAACTTACTTTTTACTACATATCCTTCTATAGTGTTGAATCTATAACATGCATATTCATCACCAAAATATGCTTGCACATGCCCAAGTAATATAATGACATACATTAAAAACTGTTAAAATAGTAATGTAGGGCCAGGGAGATAGCTCAGCAGTCTAAGCTCCTGCTTGGCAAGCACAGGGACCTGGGTTTGACCCCTGGTACCACATGCCACGCAGGCTCAGCCCCAGGAACACCAAGCCAGCCACTGAAACCAGATGTGGTGGTGCATGCCTATAATCCCAGCTCTGGGAAGGCTGAAACAGGAGCATCACTACCAGTCTGAACTGAGTAGTGAGACCCTGTACCAAACACATAAAATTAAAAAAATAAAAATAAAATAGTAATAGCATTTGCATATTTTTAATAGTAAATAAGTCAATTTCTTAATAAAGTCTATTATTTTTAGCACTATAAAGTTATTGAATATTAAGTACCCTTCAATAGATTTCTACTGTTAAGTAAAAATTACTATGGTATGGATAAGTACATGTATGTATGTTTGTATGAAAAAAATTATGCTAAAATATAACAAAATTTCTTCTGGATAATAAAACTATAAAGTGATAGGTGTGATTTTCTCCAACATACTTCATCTTCTACAATGAACAACTGTTCTCCTTGAAGTAAGAAAGAAATATTTTACTAATGCTACCTAATCACCATAGAATATTTACTCACACTTTATTGGAAGAGCAGACTTCAATGTCACTGTAATAAAAGTAAAATTAACCAAAATATCTGTTATTTTTAGACAGGTTGGCTGAAGCTCCTGCTTTCCTCACTTTGAGAGACTGTGTGTTACAAATGTAAAACAAACATTAAAACCAATGAGCTCTGGCGAAGGTACAAATATCTGAGGGTGCAAAATAGACAGAGGTCAGTCTTTGACCCCATAAGTGTACACCAAAATGTTTTCTTAAAACCCAAGGTAAAACTAAATACTGCAAAATAAAGATTGAAAATTTTTTTTAAAAAAAATTGCTTTCATCCATGCACAAGAGTGCTGGGCTACATACCTGTACAGAACAGTGCTCCGGATTGGCAAAAGGGCATCATAAATGGTGAGAGAGTCGGTGACGCAGTTGTCAGCTTCCAGTTGGATGGACTCGATTGAGAGACGAATCAGATAGCCCACTATGGCCACCAGCTTGAAGTGACACATCAGGTGCCCCGAGGTTGCTGAAATCTCCAGAGGGTAGCGGAGGGACAGATGGTCTGCGTAGAAGTACTGAGAGCAGCCCTTGTCTGTAGAGACAGAACTTGCCTTTTGTCTTTCTTTCTTTCTTCCTTCCTTCCTTTCTTTCTTTCTTCCTTCCTTTCCTTACTCTTATTCTTTTTTTTTAGGAATGACTTTTCTAGAAAACTTTATAGAAGAGTAAACAGCAAAAGAGATCCTGCAGAGGACATGTGCTGTGTACTATCCCTTCTCCTTTCTGGGACAACAGAACCTCAACTTTGCTTAGGGAACTGTACTACTCTGCCTAGAGAGCCCACTTGGGGTTAAACTCATGCCTAGTTCCAGAGGCGGACAAGTGATTCAGATTGGCCAATCAGACCCAAAGAAATTAGCCCAAGGATAGGCATGCCAGCCAAACTGGGCAATGACAGTCAGCCCCAAGGCTTCTTCAACAACTGTCAGAAATACATGTGGGGAATTTTTCTACCATGATTGGGAAAAGTATAAGCTATAAGTTTTGTCTGCATGGAGGTGACTATTTTTACTATTACAGTGAAAGAACAGACTTGCTTTCGAAGCTTTAGCAAAGGAAGGTGAAGATGCAGACTCCCGCTGATACACTGTTTTAGAACCTGGGCTGTATCACGTCTCAAGTCAGCACACTACACATTTGTCTCAGTTACACACGTCTGTCAAGTTTCCATTGTGCTTAGCCTAACTCTGTCATTTGCAACCAGAAAGGTGCTAGCAAATATCATCATTAGAAGGGGGAATCACAGGGGGAAAAAGGAGGGAAATTAGGGCAGAAACAATACCAATGGAGAGAAGAGTAAAGGGGAAACGCATGAGAGGATTTACCAGATCCTATGGTGGAAGAGTAATCTGAGCGAAGCCCAGCTGCATTGAAAAAGCACATAGAAATAGACTGTTAGTCCTGACATTTCATTGTTAGAATTTTGCTTAATAAAAATTGACTTTCAATCCTTCTTTAAAACAAACACATATGAGATTATGTTTTAAGATAATCCAGTAACTGTGGGGAGGTTTTTGATATGTAGAGATTTATGGTTCTAAATTGATAGTTTTTGAAGCTAAGCATACAGTATCTGGGAAATTTTTTTAATTTTTTTTTTCAGAACTGGGGATTGAACTCAGACTCTTGCACTTCTCAGGCAAGTGCTTACTCTACTGAGCTATCTCCCCAGTCCCAAATTATTATATGATTATTTACTTCTGTATCCTTCTAATCATGCAGTTATAAGTTCTAAGCATCTCTTTTGGTTATTTACTCTCCCAAGTGAACTTGGTTTTCTTTTCTTTTCCTTTTCCAGAACTGGGGATTGAACTCAAGACCTCACACTTGCCAGGCAGGCACTTAGGTCGCTAAGCCATCTCTCTGGCACTAAACATCTCTGAAAGGTAAGAAAGCAACCAAGCAAATAAAAATGACTGAAATAGTAAGTATAGTGCATAATTTCCTATTAGAGATTTTTTCACTCATTCAACAAATATTTATCACTAATTTATCAGTAAAGCCACTACTGCACTTACCATATGCCTAGCAATATATATATATATATATAATCTTAAACCAAAAGAGAAATATGCAGAAAATGCAGAAATGTTGGGTTATACAATGATTAAACCATTTGTATCATTGTCCAAAAAAGTAATCCAATATGAAGTTTGCTGAGGATGTGGGCCAGCTATTTCGGAGCAATGGGAAACACTACATATTATAGATATTATAGATACAATTTTGTCTACACAAGGATAGAGAAGAAGTAAACCTCAGCAAAATTCATTTTCCAAGGCTTTGTTCTTTGTGGATTTAGCTGAAGCATAAGCAGAACAAATGTAAGGATGACTACATTTTTTTCAAAATTCTACTTTGTCTAAATTGCATCTTGAATTCTATTCTTCGGTCATTGCTACATGTGACATTTAGCAATTTCCTTAAGCAGCATAGCTCCAGTGCCTTCAGCTAATCCTGTGCCCCTGGGATTGAGGAAGGGAACACCTTACTGCATACTGGCTCTCCTAATGGCGAGTATCAGAAGGCCTGCAGGAAGGAATGCTTGAGGGAGAATGACCCACAATCACCATTTAGTACCACTGAGTCCATGTCCACAGCCAGGCCCTGCAAGCTCCCCGCAGAGGTCCGGTTTATAATGCTCGTCTGGATGGAGTCCTTCAAGATGGCAGCCACACAGTCCTCACAGAAAATGTGGCCCTTGGCATGTGGCATGACAAACACAATCCAAAAGTGGACAAGGAGGCCACCTTTGTTGTTGCTGCTACAGTGAAAAGACAGAGATGTTCAGGGTTTGCCTCTCAGGAAATAGATTTTCTCAGGAAGGCAGAGACCCAATTAACACATTCAAAGCTAACGAGCACAACTTTAACTGAACCCAAATCCCCTTTTCAGGTAGTTATTGGCTCTCATTATTGGGGATTGGAAAGGAAGAGCACCATGTGAGGTGCATTCGTCTAATTTGGAGCCCTTACCATACCATTCATTCACTAGTACATTCTCCATAGAGAATGTATTAGTCCTGTGGATATCAATCACCATTCACTGTTAAGCCCAAAGCAAGGGACATACATTACCTGACATCTGCAACCACAGACTGCTTATAAAATTTGGAGAAGGCAGATGTTGTATAAACAAGGTTTACCTGGGAAAAAATAAATTGGCTTAATTCTTTCAAACTTGATTTCTATATTACCCAGTGTACTGACTAGGCAGCCTAGCTGAATTTTTACTTTGTATTTTTCTGTTTATTTGTTTGTTTGTGGCACCAGGCACTGAACCCAAAGCTGTCACACTGAGCTACATCATTAGCTCACTTTTCAGCTTCTTATTTCAACCCAGGGTCTTGCTAAGTCACTAAGTTCTCCAGTGTTGGCCTGAATTTATGATCCTCCTGACTCAGCCTCCCATTTTGTTTGTCTTTGAGGGAAGGGTCTCCGAAGTGCGGAACGTACTTTCCATGTGGCCTTACCAGAACTAGTTGGATGTGACATAACTGCCAGAGTGACCACCAGACACTCTCAGCTTCTTACCTTCTTTATAATCCCATTTCCAACACACTCTCCACCATGACTGTTGACCTTTGGTGATGACAAGTGGAAAACCATACAAGGATCAAGGAGAGGTTATATGTTAGGTGGGAATTATAGGCAGAGAGGCATCAGGCCCTTGAGGAGTCACATGCCAGCCTCCCTAGAGATAAACAGCAACTTGAGACTATACTGCAGTCAGCACCACCTGATCAGCTGAGCCTGAACAGGCCCCAGGCCCATGGATGGGTGACAGAGCATCTGGACCCGTACTCCCCTCTCCTCCCCAAATGTCTTCATGCATTCTATGATTAGAAGTTACAGGTAAGTGTATTCAAAGTGGTTAGGAAAGATATATAGTTACATTCTCTTA